TAGAGAATGTCATTATTAAGATTTGATTTCAAGATCACTTATTGTTTTGAAAAAAAACAAGATTTGTTGGTCATCTTTTTTAGACATTATTATCTTATAACAAAAGAAAAAAATGTATCTTTTGATTAACAAAGAATAATTCTCTTGTAGCTAAAGTATTTTCACTTTCGAGCTATAAAATCAATAATAACTATTGATTCAATCTTTGTCAATCAAATTAAATCAAATATATTTTCTAATCTTTTTTTTCATGATATTAAGAATATCTCTTTTAAGTCTCATGATACTTCCAAGTTTAAGTTAAAAAATAATCTACTCTATTTTAAAGGACAATTCTACCTTCCAAAAGAAGAGACACAATTACATGTTCTTTAAGCTTATCATGACTTTTCAATAGCTAGACATTTTAGATATAAAAAGACTTTGGAGCTAATATCAAAAGATTTTTGGTTGCTTCAAATGTAGAAGGTAATTAAAGACTTTATAAAATCATCTAATATTTATTTAAGATCTAAAACTCCTTGCCATCTACCTTATGGACTTCTTTACCTATTACCTATTTCAAAACAATCATGGTCTTTTATTTCTATAGATTTTATTATGAATCTTTTAGTTTAAAATTTCTATAATTCTATATTTGTAATAGTAGATCATTTTTATCAACATGGCATATTTTGTACTATGTACAAAATCTACTATAGGTGAAAAAATGGCTAAGTTTTTTCTTGACACTATGTATTGCTATCATGGATTTTTTAACGATATTATATCAGATAGGTGAATTCAATTTGTATTAAGATTTTAGGCATAATTAAAGAAAGCTCAAGAAGAATAAAAAATCAATGTTGATGCCTATTATAAGAACAACCACAATTCAACATGGATGATAAGGTATGATTACCTTCTCCTTATGTCAAGTTGGACTATTATAGGCTTGGACCTTTTTCTATTTGTAAATAAGTTAATCATATTGCTTATCAATTACATCTATCAGAGTCTATGAAGATCCATTCTATATTCTATTTGTCTCTTCTTCAGCCATATAAGATAATGAATATATCAAAAAGAAGATTAATTCTTTTTCTTCCAATAAAAATGAATAATAATTAAGAATTTGAAGTAGAAGAAGTCTTAAATTTAAAGCAATGTTGAAATATGTTAGAATATTTTATTCATTGGCATAGATATGATATTAATAAATACACATGGAAGTAAGCAAAGAAGCTTATAAATATAGCAAAGAAAATTGAGGCTTTTTATTGATGATATCCATTCAAACCAAGATGAAGAATTACAAGATCTATAAAAGATGATAATTGCACTTTATAGAACTCAACTATAAAAAGGTGATAATATCATGGACATACATATTTACTCTAATATTTATCTATATAATTAAGTAAAAATAGATAAAACTATATTTATTTTATAATATTTTTTAGAAAAGCTTTTTAGAAGATTTATAAATATTACTTTGACTTTATATGTATTTGTAATTGTTTCATAGGTTAGAAACTTGGTCAACAAGTTAATCACATATTGATAGCTTGTAAAATAAGCTCATTATGTAGCGCACATATAAAAAAATTACCTTACAAGTTAAAATATATATCTTGCAAAGTCAATACATTTTGGAGGTCGTATAGGACATTGCCATGTAATTCTTAGTTAAGAATATATTTGGAGGCAAGAGTGAAGACTTTTTCATTCTTATCAACACCTTTCTAATCTTTATTCTTGTTTCAAGACTTTCTTGTCTTCTTATCTTCTTGTCTTTAATAATAGCCATTTTAGTTTAATACTATATGATCTTTTGATTATTTTTTAGTCTTTTTGAGTGACAAAAGAATGTATTGAAGTTTTTTTTCTTTGAGATTTATGTCCTTGATAATTACCTAATACTTTTAAGTAGTAATTGCTATTTCAATGGAAATTTTTTATTATTTATTAAATACATCTATTTAATATTTTATCAAGATTATCCATTCATATTTTATTTATTATAAGAATATAATTTTATTATATCCTTCATATCCTTGAGATCCTTTGCCTAATTATTTTTTTTTATCTTTTGGCTTCTTATATTCCAAAAGCCAATCATTTAACCATTAACAACTTATCAAAGATAGTATCTTCTATAAGATAAATTATTTTACTTTCACTTTTATTTACTTAATTTAATACCATGGACCACCATATATAAATAAAGAGTATTAAAAAAAATTATCTTATTTTATTCTTCTTTTTTAGAGCAATCTTGATAATGCACAAAGTTGAGACATCTTTATTTTTATTTCTTTAATAATTTGGATGCTTTTGAATCATGAGGTTACTAACAATAAAAGGATTAAGGTACTTTATACATTTATTGATGATTTTTTTAAAAAAATTTGGATTTTTATCTTTAAAGCTAAAAGTAAATATTTGTTAAGATTTAAGATTAAGATATTGTGCATAAGTAATAGAGGTGAGTATTTGTTAAAGCATATTAATGAATTCTTAAAGATTCAAGGTATTCGAAGAAAAACCTCTATTTTTTATATTTGACAACAAAATAAAATTATTGAAAGAGCTAATCAAATCATGATAGAGATAGCTTTATGTTTAAAACTTTGGATATTAATTTTGAATAGAAGCCATGGTGAATGCACAACATACAAAGAATAGTTACCTTATAAATGCACTTACATCAATTATTCTACAAGTAACTTGGAATAGGAAAAAATCTTATCTTTTATATATGAGGACTTTTAGATGCATTGCATATGCAATGATATAAGATTGTATAAGGTCCAAACTTAATATAAAGATACAAAATATATGAATATTGGATATAGTAAAGATACTAAGGTATATAGGCTAATATTTTTAGATATCAAAAAAATCATTAAAAGTCCTGATATTCAGTTTTTTAAATAATTTTTTATTCAAAAAATACAACAATTTATTTATAAGATGAAGAAACTTTTATATGACTTGAAGTAGTAATTAAAGGTATGATATCAACATATTGACACATTCTTTGTAGATGAAGGATTTGCAAAGAGTAAAATTGATCATTTTATCTATATGATGTAATTAAATAAAATTTTATTAATTATTATCTTTTATTATGATTATTTAATTATCTTAACTAATATCTTGATGATGATGGATTGATGCAAGTTAAAGTTAAAAAAAAAAAAAAATCAAATAAGTGATTTATGAAAACTTTGATGTTCTTTGGAAGTACATTTTTTAAGACATTATGCTAAAAAGACCATTATAATGAGCCAAAACAAGTACATTGAAGAAATATTAAAATAATTTAATATTAAAGAATATAATTTTATTGGAATAGTTTAATATGCCAATAAAAGTTAATGAAACTCATAAATAATAAGTTTATAAAACTTAAAGGTTAAATATAAAGTATTTCATTCAAAACATTAATAGGTTCATTTGTATGTCCAATAGAGTACATATAGATGGATCTCACATATGAAATGTTATAAGTTAATACTTATGAAAATTTAGATCAATCCATTAGATAAGTATCAAAAAGATCATAAGGTACTTAAAAGACATTTTACACTTGAAATTGTGTCTTTGAGGTAATAACATTATTTTATAGGATTATTGTATTGCGGTTTGAACTAAAGATGCAAATAATAGAACATCAAAAATAAACTAAGTGATATTTATTAAAGTAGATGCAATCTTGTAGAATTACAAGAAATAACCAATAATTGTAATATCTATAATAAAGACAGAGCACATAATAGCAAGTTATGATATAATAGAGGCAATTTGGTTAAGATAAGTTTTGGAGGATATTAGATTTGTCTAATTAGAAGCAGCTCCAATGAAATGTAACAATTAATAATTCCTTACTTTTCTAAAGAACCTATGATATTATTTAAGAACCAAATATAATGACTTTCAACATCACTTCATAATAGAGAAGCTTAAAATGGGAGTAATTGACATAGAATAAGACATTCTTATTAATTTGTCAAAAAAGATATTAATAAAAGATAGGCATCACACATTAGTAAAAATATTAAGATTGAAAGTCTTTGATCAATAACAAAAAAAGTATTAAAAAAAAAGTAAAAATAGAAGAAAAATAAGTCACTATCTAAAAGATATTATCTTTCATAAATTGCTAGTTGTCAAAGGATTCACTCTTGGAATTGAAAAGAACATTATGTAAACCAACTACAACGTCAATGGCCAAAAAATAAAATTAATAAGATAATAGATCTACTAAAAAATATTCCAATACATAAGAACATAAAGTTTATACTAAAGCATATCATTGTGGTAGATGAATAATATAGAAATGTATTAATTATATCTTTGGAGAATATAAAAATCAAGGGATTAAAATTATATAATAGAAAAACGACCATCACTTATAAATAAAGTATATTAGAATTGAAATTCATTTTATTCTAAACTACTTTTTCTAATAAACCTTGATAATATTAAATGTTGAAACTTCTAATTTTTTTTGAAAAAGATATAATATTTCATCTAATTAAACTATTTCAAAAAATCAAATTTATCCAAATATTTTTCTTAATGAAGAAAAATCATCTTTCAAAGACTTTAACAAATACTAAAAAAAATTCTTGTATAAACATTAATAAAAAATTATTTAAAATTCTTTTCTATATAATTTATTTGTATTATAATATCTAATATTCCATTTGTAAAAATTCTTTTGTATATTTTTTTCAATGTTCATAAAAAATTTGTAAAAAAAATGTAAAAATAAAATAAAAAGAGCCTCTCTGTTTGACCTTTCATATAGTCATTTATAACCATATTAAAGGTCACTCGAAGTTGTCTAAGATTTTCCATTTGGAGGGCGGTTTCATGAGCCTTGCAGAAATTTTGGTACTTGCCCATGAGCAACATCTTCGGCAAGGCCCTGCAACAGGACTTATTGGACGCATACAAATATGTCTACAAATGGTGCATGGACAAGTGCAGCTGACCATACTGGGTAGAAATGCTTAAAAAGGCTAAGCCAGACATTGAGAAATAGAAAATCAGTCACGAAATAAATCATTCGAAGTACGCCATCCTACACAGCTAAGAATCTCATTCACATTCAGAGCCAAAATCGTCTTTGAACTGGTTGACAGAAAGAAAATCAGATCCACCATTGACTAACGAAGGACTTGTACGACAGTAGGAAGAACTGGCACAATATTACTAACCGACAGCTTGCTTAGGTTCTTGACACATGCAATCGGGAGCGGGGTATCTGAAGATAGAGTATTTTGGCATCCGGCGGACTGGAGAACCTAACCTGCTGAGATGACCTTCAGTAACTTGGCTGGAAAACTCTAGCCAGCTGATGGAGCTCTTGGAAAATAAGTGGGCTAGCAACCTTTTGTCGGCATGGATAGACTTCCGTGGGCCATAGAATGTCCGCTGCCCGCTCTGCACCACACAATACAAGTTATGCAACGTCTACATGGTTAACAATTGCCGTATGAATGACACAGTTACACAGAGTACAGATGATGGGTTTTAATTCCCAATAGCCCAGATAAAGAAAATTCTTACCAGCACATTCGGGAAGTTACCAGCAGCATTGGACATGAAGACATCACTGTTGAGTAGGACCAAGAAGTCCAACGCTGCAAGTTTATGAGAATACGGCAAGAAAGGCCTGAGCTCTTTCGTCGAAGCCAAGGTGTATTTACTCTCAAGGATAGGAAATATCTCTTTCAAAGGCTTTATCCGGGCTACCCCTCCATACAAGTTCTGCAACCAAATAGTGGCACATTTCGTAACAGTATCGTGGGAACTTATTTCATTCTCGGTTCACGACATATCCATTCCTCTAGTACAAAATCGGGACATCTCCAGTTGTAACCACAATCAATCAGCACTGGAAACTTTTTAGTGCCACGGAGAGAGCATGGTAAAGTTGCTACCTTGCTTGCCATGTAGACAGGAGTAGAGATTGGGAATCCTAGACCAGACAGCAAAAGACCCATCTCATCTGGAGTGAGAGGGCAGCTACCGTTCATACGTAGAGCCTCTGGTTTATATCGGGTCTTGCTCACTCCTCCCCTGAAAGAACGATGACCAGCAATTGTCAATTCGTATCACGCTCATAAACAGCCTGAGGCGCTTTATCCGATATCAACGTGAAGCAAGAGATGAAAGTAGGCGACTAACCTCCAAATCTTGGCTCGGAAAGCGGCAAGAGCGCGCTTCTCAGCCCTACCTCCTCCGTAATAACAAGCCGAGTGTGCAATCATGTCTTTCTCAAAACGCACATGGAGTCCTAGGTATCGGTGTACCTGGTCCCCAGAATTGCCTGAAAGCATTTCTGAACCTACAAAAGAGCCAAAGAAGACAATCTGAATCCTTTCCAGCCGATGGAAGTAATAGCGGCTGTTGCTCGAATCATCTACAATCGCCCCCCTACGCACTATTTAGCAATGTGATGAATTGAAACCAACTATGTTTCAATATTGTGCAACTCGACTGTACTCCATTAAACTACTTGTATTTCTAAGCGCGCACCTGAAAGTGTCTCTTCATTGTTCTGTGTGGACCACCATGGCTGAGGTGCAGTCATCTGAGGAGCAAGGTTTGGACTTTGAACCGCCAAAGACTTCGCTCTGATTCGATTCACCAGCAATTTCCCAAACTCTTGGATAGCAGGCACAAATTGAAGGCCCTCAAAATTGGCTCTACATCGCAATTGTGTGATGTGCACAGGAAGGCCCTCGAAGGTCAGCTTATGATCCCAACCCGAGTATTGAGTAGGGCCGTCTAGCACGGCCACACCGTGCCTGCAAGATACCATGCCAATGTTGAAAGTAAATGCGTGCCGCCATCATAGAAAAAGTTCATAATTGTAGTTCATAAAAATATCAAGCAGAAGAGACTTACGTTTGTAGAAGTGGTGGCACCTTCTCAAGATACCAATTCATGGTACTATGCTTACGAACGTAAGTCAGACAGTTGGGCCTTTCTAGGCAGCGTTCGGCATAAAGATCGGGTACACTCCACGCATATTCTTCTGGCAATTGTCGCACTATTCGTAAATCTTTCTCGAAATAGGCTATAAAATGGTCCGTGTCATATATGTCGCCGAATTGACTGAGATGCCCACAAGAGAAGTAACTTCATAATCATCAGGGAAACGAAAGAAGGAAAAAAAAAAAAAAAAAAAAAAAAAAAAAAAAAAAAGGAGAAAAAGAAAAAAGAAAGAAAGAGGATAAAAATGAAAGAAAAAAAAAGCCCTAACATCACCAACTAATTTCAACCGAACATGGCCAGGTTAATGGAAGCCAGAAAATTACTGTTCAATAGATCCCACCTCGGGTCCTTCCACACCAATGATTTCCTGAAGTATGGAATCAGCAGAGTCGCATTCACCAGCTTGGCTACTGCCACAGCGTTACATACCTAGAGCACACGTTATCTCAGGCATGATTAACACTACAATTTTTACGAGGAACAATGATGACGCCACTTTTCGCCATGACGGGTTCTCGACTGTGGCTAGCTAGCGATGTATAACAATCGTAATCGGTTGAATAATGAAATCGGATGAGTGTAAGTAAGGATTGCATACACAGATATGAATTTGAAACAGGCCTCCAGAGCACATCACTTGCAAATAACCATTATCAGATCCAGATTCTGCAGCAGCACCAGCACTTGATGAAGGTTTTGATCAATCAACAAACGAGCTGCTGAATTATCCTTATGCCATTTGCAGAAAAATTCACGTGCACACATAAATCTTAATACCATCCTTGTGACAAACATGTTGAAAAAAATAAAAATAAAAATAAAAACAAGAAAGAAAGAAAGAAAGAGGCTAAAGTGGTAGCTTCTCACCAAAATCAGTGTGTATCAAACAAGGTTTCCATCCATTGTCGGGAGGGGGACTCCAGAGGTCGATAGGGTCCCGCACAGTCTGCAGCACCAGCCCAATGTCATTTCAATGCATCGATGATTTCTTACCAAGTAGCATTGTTCAGTGTTGAGACCAACAATACATCAGTACTAGCAAGCAACAATACATCTGAAGCGGAGTCGAATTCAGAAATGTATTGACAACAAGCTTGTTGGGGAACAAAACCGCATTACTCGCAACAATCTTACATACTCACCTTAGAGAGAAAAGACTTTCTGCTGTGTGTAAGATTCATGTGAGTACGACGAGGTGGTCTGTATTCCTGCGTGACAAGAAAAAAACATTTTTTTCTTCTCAGAACTAATTCTGCCACGGTCGTCACTATAGAGGTAGAAGAGGTTTGTCCTATGTGTATTGCGGAATTAACCAATCCAGCCGCACTTAGAATAGTGCGGATTTTAAAAATTGAAAATGAATCGGAAGTCTTGAAGTGAATTGAATTGCTTCAGAATAACAAAACTTACGGAAAAGAGGTGGTTGAACCATATGGCATTGCTGATGCGCGCAGGCGTGACTTCAATGCTGTAAGCAAAGAGAGCTGTGACGAACAATCCAAGCACCCAAACGTACTTGGGCAGCGTCCCTTTGGTTGAATAATCCCCAGATTTTGCAGCCTCAGCCTCCTCTTGCACTGGTGATGTCGGAATATCCTTCCTGCTAACTCTCATATCTCGGTTCTTCGCACTCGCTCCCCAGCTGAACCGCCCCATCGCCGCCAACCTTCATCACCTACTCCCGCCCTCCCCACGTCCTCTCTTCGTTTCTCCAGCTGCACTTATACCATCTTCCACACAACCCCAGCTCTTCTGCTTCTCGAAGAAACAACCTCAAATTCTGATTCATACACCAGAAAAGTCCTAATTTGTCTCCCTTGCGCTCCAATTCAACCAATCAACCTGCGATGCAAAACAGTCTCGCACGATGATTGCTTTCACTTCATTCTAAGCGAGCATAATAACAACCCCCCCCCCCCCCCCCCCCTATTTCCTCCTTAACTGGAGAAAGGCACAAGGTTCTAAATCAACACGAATCTTCTTGAAAGACCAGGTTGCGGCTGTGGCATCGGAAAAGGCCCCTAACCCAGACAATTTCTCAAGCAAAATGAAGTTAAAGCCAACAAACATCGCATCGGACATGCTCATTGTCCCGTTCACACTTCAGAGAGGACACTCGCACCTCCCAACATCCCTTGTCCCCATCCGTAGGTCTGTGATGGACAGAGTTCAGGAATGGAAGGATGTATCGTTTCACCAGACCTCTCAGCCTCGCCCTGGATTCTGATGCTTTCTTCCATCGTCTGGTCTTTGCCACTCGTCAGAGTCGGCAGTGAGACTTTGTGTGCCTGTGGTGTGGGTGAGCGTTTTCGAATTGGGTCCCATGGCTCCACTCAAGCTTATCGGTACGTAGACGATCTAATCACCCTAGTGTTAATTCTTGCCAGTTTATGATATAGAATTTGTAATGGAGGCCTGAATTCTCCTGAAGTTATTTTCAAATTTTTGTATCGTGTGAGATTGGGTGGCATTTGTTCACATACGGTGAGACCTAGACACTACGATAGCGATCAATTTGGTGTGCGTTGGTGTGATACGAAGAGATGTTTACTTTTTTGGTCCATATTTAGAGGAGTAAGAAAATAATTGAGACTTAACAGGTGCACAGGTTTTCCTGCAATATCATTTATTGGGGAAATTTTATACATTTTGGATGTTAACGATTGGGTTGCATTCGATGTAGTGCTTCATAAATGCAATCGTTGGGCTTGATATTGATTCTTCCTAACAGTTTGTATTCATGACCACAATTTTGCAATGAGATTTATTTATTTATTTTCTGACCGACCCGTCTGGAAGACGTTGCTTTGCAGATATTGGAGCCAATCTTACAGGTATGTCCTGATTTGCTCCTGCTTACGGGGTTTTGTACCGACATGGAACTACTGTAAGGTTTATGATTAGTTCTAGTGGGATTCACTACGTTCAGTGATGCTTTCTGGTAAATAATATTTTATTTCTCCAGTTATTACTGAGTCTACTCAAGAGGGGCGGGGTTTTTAGGGTTTAAAGTTTAAAGTCCATAAGATTTTCCTGGGGCTTTTCACTGCTAGGAATGGGATTATTTTCTGTTCTAAATATTATTCATCTTGTTTTATTAATTGCGGAATGATTTACCATGTAGCAGATGGCATGTTTGCGGGTTGGTACCATGGCAAGCAGTGCCATTCCCCAGATCTAGTTCATGTATTGCAGCGAGCTTGGGATGCAGGACTTACCCGTATCATCGTAAGAAAGAGCACGTCACGTCCAAGGAAAACTTTTTCCTGCATTCTTGATCATCCTTACAAGTTTAGATCAGTGTTGGGTCTTTGAATCACTTAATGCGAAAGGATTTGATCCTTTGCCGTTCTTTGTGTGGATAATGAAAATTGGAGGTTGTGCTCTATGTACATGCATAATACACATCCTATATTTATTATTACCACCTATATATTCGAAGCTTGCAATTGAAACATACTTGCAAATCTTGTGATAGATATGTTTATCATTCACTTAATGAGTATTATTTCGCCAATTAGGTGACAGGAGGATCTTTGAAGGAGTCGAAGGAGGCCCTGTCTTTAGCCGACTCTGATGGTATGGTCACTCTAAAGTTTCTGATTTTTACACCTAAAGAAAGTGGTGATTTCCAACACTGGAATGCTTAGTTTTTTAATGAGTGTGTATTCCTACAGCTGGTTGGATGTTTGTGTTAAGCAAAATGACGCTTTTTCACCGTATTTGAGCTCTTTAGCGTAGCGTAGATTGTCCCTTTTTATGACTTTGGATATCGTTGAGGATACCTGTTAACGAATACTTGATTACTTTTGCAACGTGGGTTTTTATTTGAATAAAGTATTTTTGCTACTTTTGTCACCGACCAAATGAAAGAATTGCAGGCCGTCTATTCTGTACAGTTGGAGTGCACCCGACCAGATGCACGGTGCGACCTCTAGCAACAGCCTATGCTTGTTCTCTTAATTTTAAGCGTGTGAATATCATGCTGAGGATCTTGAGTCCTTCAGTTGACACTATTGAGTTGATCAGTAGATTATCCTTGTTGCTTGTGAACTCTGTGTCACCTTCTGATATTCTTCAAGCTGATCTAAAAACATAGTGGATTTACGATGTCACAGGAATTTGAGAAGAGTGGGGACTCAGAGAAGCATTTGCAGGAACTTCTGCAACTTACAACTTATGGTGTTGCCAGAGGAAAGGTACTAAGTCGCTGCATGACAAGTGCGTCTACTCCTTGCTGTCTTGAATACAATTATATTTGCGGTTTTAGTCCTAAGCTTGCCACAGAAGCTCTCTTGATCTTAACTAGTTTTTAGAGTTAAAAAGCTGGATGTTCATATATGGGCAATATCTGTGGAGCGATATGGTCAGCCCAGGAAAACTTCAGATCGAGCAAGCATTATAATTGCTGAGGTTGTTCAAGGAGCATAACTTGAATTAAATTTTGGTAGAGTATGTGAATAACAGGTTGTAGCAGTTGGTGAGTGTGGCTTGGATTATGATCGTCTCCAATTTTGTCCTGCTGATACTCAGCGCCGGTACATTTTTATTTTATTTAGTATTTAATGCATATTATGTTGCTCGCTGAATTTAATTATTTTGTGGATTTTAAGAAGTTCCTAATGTTAGGAATCGTTAGTTTTCAAGATTACGATCGTCGTACGCTCTTTCGATATCATATTTGGTTTTGCAGTTATTTTGAGAGACAATTTGAGATCGCTGAGATAACAAAATTACCCATGTTCTTTCACATGAGATCTGCAGCTCCCGACTTTTTAGAAATTGTGAAACGCAATCAACACAGGTTAGCTGTTCACAGTCTGATGTCTTATGATGGTTCTTTTAGCTGTTAAAAGGTAGAAGCATCGTTAAACCCTGGGCAGTGACACTCATTCTCAGAGTCTTTATCTAATGAATTAATTTATCTATTTACCCAGATTTACCGCAGGTGTGGTGCATTCTTTCACCGGAACTAGCGAAGAAAGAGACCAACTACTAGCTATTCCCAACCTTTACATAGGTAAATCTCTTGGTATCAATGTCAACATCTTTGTCCGCCATGATCTACCATAATCTGCTGAATTATTAATCTGATGTAGAAGTGAAAATCTTTCACTTTTATTAGTATCTGTTTGGAATTTTTTTGTTGTCTCACTTCAAATCTTACAGGCATCAATGGCTGCTCATTGAAGACAGCAGAGAACCTCGAAGTGATGGCTGGAATTCCAGTGGAGAGGATGATGATTGAAACTGATTCTCCTTACTGTGACATCAAGAATACTCATGCTGGAATCAAGCATGTTAAAACTACTTGGCCCTCAAAAAAAAAGGAGAAACATGACATTCATTCGCTCGTGAAAAGTCGAAACGAGCCTTGTCAAATCAGGTTGTGTTTCGATTTCTCTCCTTAGATCAATCTAATACATTGTTGTGATTGCTTAAATGAAATAAAACAGAGCAATTAGATGTGTGGTTGACTACAGGGGATGAGTAAAGGGAAGTCTGCTTGATACTTCTAGTGAGTGCATTGCGTCGAAGCATCACGCTTGGAAACTCAGTTACTAACCTGTACAAGGGTTTTACTGCTTCAATTTCATAGTCTTAACCATAAAAATCTTAACATGGTCGGGTGAGGTTTTTGAGTGACTTTTCTTACAGTTTCAATGCAATCATCTGCATCTTCGGATGTTATTTTAGTGAACAGCAAGTTAGTTTAATTTTCTGCAGGCAAGTACTGGAAGTGATAGCAGCTTATCGAAAAGAGCAAGATGTTGGAGGTTTTGCACGAGCCATTTATGAAAATACGTGCAGGTATAGTCTTCTCACTCTGGTTCATCTGGCTTGTAAGTAGTGCTTCATATTTAGCTTCAATCAGAAGTTCCAACCTTGCTTGCAAATTGAGGTGGCTTTTAATTGACAAGTGAAATCATGTTGAGGATTGAAAGGTACTTCGAGTCTTTCTCTAAACCAGAAGTCTCGTGGATTAAGACTTTGAAATGGAGTATCTTGATTTCAACTGAAAGATGGATTTTATACTGCCAGGGAGATGTGATGTGTGCGACATGTAATTTTCTAATTGAGTAAATTGTTTTTTGTTTTGTAGGATATTCTTTCCTCATGATATTGACACTATGGCAGATGTAGTCCTTTCTGCTAACAATTGAAGAACTACTACCCAATTCAGCAAATAGATTCTGAAGCAATTAGATTTTTGAAAATGAAATGTATGCATCATGATGCTCAACCTTAGGCAAAATGCCAGCTTTTTTGACTACGTGGTCATGTCTCTAGTGCTATTTCATTTTTTCAAAATTCCAAGTTTCTGATGGCATTCCTAATGTAAAAGCCCTCCACATAAATTTAAATGGGCCATCTAACTGTTGAAGAAACTGACTTGAACACACAGCAAGCCACATATACAAGATGATTGTTATGACAGCAATTTGAAGAATGCTCTTAAAATATGAATCTTAAATATTGTTAAATTATTAATGTGTGTATTTTTATATTGGTTATTTTGTAAATAAAGTCTATCATCTACAAAAATTTAATTTTGTAATACAACAATCATAGAATGTGTCACTTTTAATTACTACATAAATAATTTAACAACATAAGATTTAAAATGATGCAAATATCTTAAAAACAAAAAATAACTTAAGAAATATAGTTGTTTATTTATAAAATATAATGTGTAAAACTTCATATATATATATATATATATATATATATTCAAAACTAATCATTTATAATTCTATTATCTCTTGAATTATAATTTTTTTGCTTACAAATAGTAAAAATAATAACACAATAGAATGATTTTAATATGTAAATAAAGACCACTAAATTGTTATTTCAAAAACAAGAAGGTTTGTAAGTTGTGAGGTAGATAAGCTCAATAAAAAGAGTTGTAAAAATCAAAAATATGTTTAATTTCATTACTATTTGTACCAATAGCTAGGCCATAAACTTATTGTTAAAGCTTTTGATAACTTGTTGGATTGATTATAATATTTATAATTTATATAGTATTATATATATCACAAAAAATAAATTATAAAATATTTAGAATTAAATAAGTATATTTTTAGATAATGTATTTTTTAAAATTATAAAGATATATTTTTATTTTATTTATAAATAATTATTTTTTAATATTAAATATATAAATAAATATATAATATTAAAATTACAAATATATTTTATCATTTTATCTCATTATAAAATATATTTAATTTTTTCATTATTTTATAATTTAATTTAATGAATTTTATCTGATTCAATAAAATTATATGATTTATTATTTTATTTTATTTAATAGAAATGATTTTATACATATATATATACTATCAAGGACATGAATTTCAACAAGCTAAAAGATCAATACACTTTTGTGTCACTAAAAAAGACTAAAAAATTACTCAAAAATAGTATAATATGAAACTTGAATGACTATTGTTAAAGACAAGATGACTAGAAAGTCTTGAAATAAGACTAAGGACTAGAAAAGCATTGACAAGAGTGAAGAAGGTTTCACTTTTGCTTTTATATATACTATTTAACTAGGAGCTACATAGCGACATTTTATAAGACTTCTAATACATGTCTAACTTGTGAGCCACGTATCTAACTTATAAGATAAGTTTTCTATATGCGTGCTACATAGTTAACTTGTATTATAAGCTATCAATACATATGACACATGGCTAAATTGTTGGCTAAGTTTTTAACCTACCAATCAACTACAAATATGTCTATGGTCAAATCTGTCTCTATGAAGCTTCTAAGAAGCTTTGCCTTAAGATATTATCAAATTTATGTACAAATTTATTCTCTACTTAATACTTCTTAACTTGGTGATTATATATGTTTGTGATATTATTCTTTTTGTTTTTAGAGACAAGTTCCAAGAAGAGTAGTCATCATATGTTGAAGAAGTCTAAGATGTGGTGAATTGTATATGCTACATACTTTGATCTTTGTCTCTTTTGAAGGTGGTTGATAGGTCGTTTCAACCATGGATAGTGTCCCATATAAAAGCAAGAAGATGACCTTGCTATTTGATAATTGTTGAGGTCTTTGTAATTTCCTTCAAACAAAATATTTGTAACACCATCAAGACTCATTCTTACTTCAAATAAAATCACCAAACATTGAAAATTTCTTCTAAGGTTGTGATATCAAACATGTTATATTTCACCATCTATTTGAAGAAGAATATGTTGTTCTTGAAGATCTTCATCTCTATTATGTTGTCTTGAAGGTTGTAACAATTATAATATCTCATCCAATAAATCAATAAATGATAGTTTTTGCATTAAATCTATTAGTTACTAGTTTTCCATTTCTTTAATGCTATAAATGCACAAAAACTACAAATAAAGATAGAAGATAGAATGCAATCTTATTAAACTATGTTTATTTTACAACAAGGATTTTTTATTCTTCATCTTGATTTTGATGGATGTCATTGATAAAAACATCAACATTCTTTGTTGTATTCACTAGATTCTTGATTGGCTCTTATGTACATTCTTTAATATCATATTTTTTGTCGTATTATGTGTGTTCTTGCTTGAAAATACACTAGGATTCTAATTGCAGAAGGTAAGTAGAAATGCAACAACAATCCTGCTAAGTCTAATAGAATCTTAAATAAATTTTAAGTAATCAATAATAATCCTAATCAAACTCTAATCAATCCAAAATAAATTTAAAAGAAGTTACAAAAGAAATACAAAGAAGTCTTGAATTAATCTAAAAATATATTAACAAAAAAATCTTTAAAAAATATAAAAATAAATCTTTAAAAAAAAATAATCTCAAAAGAATACTAAAAATAATTTAAAAAAAAAACAATAAATAATCCTAATGAAATATTTAAAATATATTTTTAAAATAAATCTTATATAAATTTTAATTAAATATTTATTTAATTTTAATTAAAATCTTAATTATTAATCAAATTCTAAGACAAATCCTAATTAAAACCTTAATTGATACCTCAATGAACCTTAATCAAACCTTAGTTTAAATCCTAATGAGATCCCAAATTATAAACCAATTCTAATGAATTCTAATGAAACCTTCATCCAATCCTAGACAAATCTTAAATAAACCTTAATTAAATCCTACTCAAATCTTATACAAATTTTAATCAAAATCTAATCAAATCCTAATAAAATCCAAATAAAATCCTAAATCTTAACCAAACTTTAGAAAAATCTTAAATCCTAATCAAAACTTAGACAAATCCTAAATTCTAACCAAGTTCTAATCAAATTGTAATCAAATCTTAATCAAATTCTAACCAAACCCTAGATCCTAAATCAATCCTAGTCAATTCCTAAAACTTAAACAAATCTTAATAATTCTATAGCAGATTAAGAATTCAATAACCAATGATTGAATTATTTATTTTGACTCAAAATTTGAATATCTTGCAACAATTAAGTAAGCAATAAGAAATTTTTTTTGAAAAAGATCGCACATCACAATAGCAAGCAAAGCTCCCTAAACATCTCACTCATTAGCATTTTCTTTCTTTGATTTGAATGTGATCTTTCAATCCTAATTTCTCTTTGTTAAACTATTTAATTGCTTCAAAAATTGGAAAGTATGTAGATATTTAAGTCTTAATTGCTCTCACCAAATTTTGATTTAATCCAATTAGCAAATATTGCTAGATCTTAAATCACTTATTGATCCTAAATTTCAAATTTTTGAGATCATAATCCACAAAAAACTTCATGTGCTTCAATCTAAATGCTTGATTGATCTCAATTTTTTCATACACATTAATAAGCACAAAAACAGATTTTCTAATTTTCATTTGTATATATACTACAAAATTCAAGAAATTCTCAAATTTATAAATATATTTTTATTTCTCAAAATCTAAATCCACCAAGTAAATTATTAATTTTTAAAATTCTTCAAAATTTTAATATTAATTGAAATAACATAAAATTAATATTTAATTTAAAAAAAAAAAAAAAATTCTCAAATTCCATTTTTTAATTTGAAAAAGAATCCAAGAACTGTCGTAGGTGCATGGTTTTGTGCATAGTTCTAATTTTAATCTAGGTTGACAACTAATCCTCTCCAAGTATCAATTTTTGATAATTTGAGATAAGTTTTATTTTAACCTATAATTAACTTTCTTCTAAATATGCCTATATCTATTTCTTTTCTCATTTACTTTGATTTGGCTCATTTATGCTCCTACACAATAAATAGAAGTTCTTTCTACAAAAGATAGTATTAAGACTAAACTTTTTACTATCTTTTTATAATTTATTATTATTTTTTATTACATCTATTTATTAGGCTCTTCTATAATAATATCCATATTTTTATTTTTCTCCATATAGCTGTATTATCATATAGCATCCATCCTCTCTCAACTTATGCATCTTCTAATATGTTTCAAATGATTCAAATCTTATTTGATTCATATTATGTTCTCTATATCTTGATCTAATTTTTCTTCATCATTTTTGCTATCCAAGTAAAAATCATTTTCTTATCTTAAAAGATTTATATCTTCAACAAAGTCTTTTATATTTATTTTTATCTATCTTCATTTGAATATCTATATTCACTTCCCTGCAACTAGTATTTTTAACCTTATTCTATCTAGCTCTTGTAATGAATAAGTTACATTATTATGAATAATTGTTATTACATATAGTCTAAACCATTATTTAAAAAATCTCTTTAAAATATTATGTTGATTATCTAAGGTACTATTATAAACCAAAATCCAATCACCTTCTTCAATTGCTTTAGCTCTCAATCAAAGTTGTTTGTCAAATCGTGCCTTATTTTATAACCTTGCCCTTTTTAATCTTTCAAATTCTATTTACAAATCTTTTGGTCTTTTCTCAAGTTGTTGAATTTTAATAACTAAATTTTCCTCTCTTGCCATTTATCTTCTCATGGTAGCCCACTCCAACTAAATACTTTTTTTTCAATTGGCATAATAAGTTTTTGCCTTGTCATGACCTCAATAAGCATATATCTTGTTATTAAACTCTAAGTTTTTTGATCAACCTATAATGCAAATGAAAAAATTTCAAGCTATTTTCTTAACTTCCTATTATAAGCTTGAATTAAGGCTTTACAATTGATATATGACCACCTTTATTTTTTTCTTTTTCTTCAAGATTATAAGCAGTAGTCAATGAATTTTATATCTTTTAAAGAATTCACAAGCTTCTTATGTATTTGATTTTCCATGATGTACAATAATTTTTTCTACACATCTATAGC